AAGATGTATTAGCGATTATAATTTAATAGTAAAATCGCCGTCTTCCACACGGAATTTATTAGTTCGAGTCCGACTAATCGTAAGAGGTAAAATATATATTATTATATAAAATATAGTAATAATAATAATAATTAAATTAGTAACTTAATTAGTAAAGGATTTTCTTATCACGAAAATAGATATCGGTTCGATACCGGTCTAATTCGTAAATTTTTATTGTATTTTTCTAATAAGAAAAAGTAAGTATATTTAAACATAATAAAAAGGAAAGGTTGTTATTGTATGTTAGTACCTGGGTGTTCGAGTCACCTTCTTTCCGTAATTATTACTATAAATATAACTAACGTTGGTTATATACTACTTAAAAATCTTCCCTTTTAGGGTAATTATATCTAAAGTTTTAATGATAAATTTATTTATTATAGATGAAATGTATACTAGTGGATTTAAAACAGGAGCTTTAGATATTATATCTTTATTTATAATATTATATGGAATTTCTATTATAGTAAGTAGAAATCCTATAGTTTCTGTGTTATTTTTAGTAGGATTATTTGGAGTAATAGCTTTATATTTAATATTATTAGGTTTAAATTTTATAGGATTTTCATACCTAATCGTGTATTTAGGTGCTGTTTCTATCTTATTCTTATTTATTTTAATGTTAATTAATATTAGAGTTAGTGAATTACAAAGTAATACTAAAAATAGTATACCTTTAGCTTTAATTATTACTATATCTTTTAACTATTCAATATTTCAAATATTACCTTATAATGTAGCAATTTTAAATAACAATAATAATTATATAAATAATATTATTTATTACATATCCTTAAATAAACAAGAAACTATAAATAATAACAAAATAATAAATATAAATAATGATTTATTTTTTGCTTTAAGTAGCATTTAAGATAGTAATTTAATAGATACAAGTCATATATCTAGTATAGGAAATATTTTATATACTATTAATAATATGTGATTAATATTAGTTAGTTTTATTTTATTAATAGCAATGATAGGCGCTATATTGATAATAATAAAATCAAGTAAAAGTTTATCATAGTTAGTTTAATTAATTATATATTTCAAAAAAATTAAATAAAGAAATTAGCTCAGCGGTAGAGCAGCCGTTTTACACACGGAAGGTTAAGTATTCAAATCACTTATTTCTTAAAAGGAAAATAGTTTAACTGGCAAAACATTAAGCTTCAACCTTAAAGTACATAGTTCAAATCCGAGTTTTCCTGATATAAAAGATATATAATAATTTAAGTAATTATAGAACTCATACATATATAAGGTTTATATGAATCCATCAAAAATATTATATAATTAAGTATATATTATAAATTTTATAATTTAAGCAGCAAAAATAATAGGAACAGGTTTAGCAACTACAGGTTTAATTAGAGCAGGTATAGGAATAGGAGTAGTATTTAGAGTATTGATTTTAGGAGTAGCTAGAAATCCTTTATTAAGAGGTCAATTATTCTCTTATGCTATATTAGGATTTGCTTTTTCAGAAGCTACAGGTTTATTTACACTTATAATAGCTTTCTTACTATTATATATAGCATCATTTTTTTTTATCTTATATAGATAAATTACGTTAATAATTTGAGAAGTATATAATGACTATATTATTATTTAAAAAATTTAATTTAGATGCACCTACTGCTTAAGATATTTATTTCTAAGATAGTGCGAGTCCTTAAATAGAAGGATTAGTTAAATTATATAATAATATTATGTATTCTTTAGTATTAATTTTATTTATAGTAGGTTAAGTACTATTTTCTATAGTTAGATACTTTATAGAAAATAAATCACCTATAGCATATAAATATTTAAATCATAGTACTTTAATAGAATTAATATAAACTATAACTCTAGCTGTTATATTAATATTAATAGCTTTCCCTTTATTTAGATTATTATATTTAATGGATGAAGTTAATGATCCTTCAATGATAATTACAGTAGAAGGTCATTAATGATACTAAAGTTATTAATATCCTGATTTCTTCGATTTAAATAATGAAATTATAGAATTTAATTTATATATAGTACCAGAATCAGATTTAGAAGAAGGTGGATTAAGAATATTAGAAGTAGATAATAGAGTAGTTATACCTGAAGAAATATATCTAAGATTTATTATAATATCTAGAGATATTATATATTCTTTTGCTATACCTACTTTAGGTATAAAATAAAATACTTATCCTAGTAGATTAAATCAAATATATACTATTCTTAATAAACTAGGAACTTATTATGGATAATATTCTGAAATCTATAGAATTTTGCACTCTTCTATGATAATAGCTATAAATAGGGTAATATTATAAAATGTTTTAGAATAGTTACTAATAGTATAAGTAAAATAATACTAGATATAATATCTATACTATCGGCTACCGCTCCTTCTAAAGAAAATTTAAAAGAGAGCTTTACTACTAAATTTAAAACTAGATTAAGAAAAGATATAAGATTAAAACCTTTTACTTATAGTAGTTTTGAAAAAGTTAGTTTTATAAATTATAT